TGATACCGTATATGCAAGCTGGTCTTCTCTTCATTGTGTTCTGATTTTTGTTTATGTCTTTTTTTTTCCCCACAGGTTTTGTATACGTTATGAGATTTACAGGTACGCGAGCAATAATATTTTTACTTTGCTGGGTATTGTTAAGTAGTAATATTTATTGTGTTTTAGCTTGATTTTAGTAATAGTCCATATATACCTACAGTTTATATAGACACTTGATGCATCCTTTTATAATAATTCACAAGTCATTCCAAGTGCGCCTTTTTTCTTATTAAAATGCCATGTGGCAAAAGTCTCAAAAAAAATATTTACAACAAAAAAATATGACCGAAATATTTTTTTTTCTTTTAATTTTTACATTAAAGATAAATAAAAAACCTCTGCCTTCTAACTGCTCTCTCACGATCTCCGGATTCCCCCACTTCACACTTTCTCTTCAACAATGGAGTTATATAATCTCCAACAAAAGACTTCGACATATTTTTATATTTTGATTCAATTTTTCAGAAATTNCAGGTAAAAAAGCGATCAAATTTTCTGTTTATATGCATCACCTAATCCTTTTATACCTTGTCTTTACTATTGATCTCTTTCGNTTTCTTGATATGTTTCGATTCTTCGCTATCAGTTTGCTGTTTCAATTTATTGTGAATATATCCTTTGATTCTTCGCTTTTGATTTCATGTTTCAGTTGGTGATTTCATACGGACATAGTTAGGGTTTACAAGGATTGTCGCAAATTGCTTTTGTCTGTAGATTTTTCGCTTTTGATTTCATGTTTCAGTTGGTGATTCCAGCTTCAGTTTCTCTTTATTCTTCACTTTTGTCTGTAGATTTTTCGCTTTTGTCTGTAGTTTGGGAATTATAATAAAAGGATGGTTACAAATTGTTTTTCTCTGTATTTATGATTCATGTTTGTTTTCTTCTAAGAACTCGGTAAAGCAAATTGTGAAACATGAAATTTTTGTCACATGAGTTACGTAAAAAAAACTCTTTCTTTCTGTTTTTTTTTAATTCTAACCAACTATTACTTCTGCTTTGTATGTCTTAACTCTATTTTTGATTCATTATCCACTTTCCAGGAGGCGGATTAATTCATCATGCCGCTCGATTTTACACCTGTTTCGCATATAACTCCTGCAATTGAACTATGTAAGATCAAAGTTAGAGTTGTTCGACTGTGGAGATTTCTGAAAAAAGATAAACCAAACGAATTTACTGGAATCCATATGCTCCTTCTAGCTAGATGATAAGGTTAATGTACTTTTGATTGTTTACTTCATTCATTTATTCATACTCTTTGTAAATTTTCAAGTGAATTAATATCTTACACTATCATTTTATAACAGGGAGGTAGGATTCAAGCTTCCATCAAAGGAAATGAAGATTTACTTTCCAAATTTCAGAAGCAGCTAGAAGAAGGAGAGTGCTATGTCCTCATGAACTTTGAATTAGGCCCCAATCTCGGACAATTCCGAAGTTCTGCACATCCTTACAAAATCAATTTCATCTTTTACACATGTGTCAAGCCATGTGAACAGATACCAAATTTAGAATCACATTTCAACTTCTGTCATTTTCCTGAAATAATAGCAAATACTAATGCTGCAGATATATTCATTGGTATGTTTTCTTTGCCATTTTACTTTTGTCTTTTCATTTAAGAATATGTTATGTTTCTCTGAAATTTTTTTAATTTGCACAACATTATAGGTGAGATTATTGGGATGAATGAAGTTAAGGATATCACTACCACCGTTGATGNCCCAACAAAAATACTTAATCTTCGACTTAAGGATCTNGGNTAAGTTTTATTTAAACTTCTGTGAATATATGAACCATGGCTTTGAACTATGCACACGTTCACATTTTGATGTCTCAAATGTTCTTTCTAAAACTTGATACATATACATACTCTTCGTACTTGATGTCATCTGTTTTACTTGCATGCATTTCAAAATCCAATATTCATTACGTTAAGTGATCTTCCCAGAGACATAGACTAAATTGTGTACTTATTTTGCGTATAAATTTCACATGAATAAATTCTAAATTTTTAAATAACACAAACACTTAAAGTGAAAGAGATCAATTTATCATTTTATCTATTTTATGTTTGATAAACATATAAATTTTTGTTGGATCCACAAAATCAAAAAAATTCATGATACTAATTTATTTATACTAAAATAGCAAACAAATCTATAAAACATACCCGAGCGTAGCCCGGATCATTTTCTAATCTATACTATATAAAAGTTGAGGTTATTAGCCCTTAAAGGCGTCCACGTAGGATTTAAATCAACCTATAGTGACATGTCACGTCAAATATTTAGAATTATGTTAATCTTGTTTTTGCAAATAATTAGAAAAAAAATAAGACATGATTTCCTAATATCATTAGCTCATAATTCCAAGTAATTTCCAAATTTTTGTGGATTTAGATCCAATAGTAATGTGTCATGTCAAATATTTAGAATTAAGTTAATTTTATTTTTGTTGTAAGACATGATTTCCTTATTTCATTGTCAAATAATTTTCAAATTTTTGTTGATTTAATTTCCTATTTCGAATAGGATCTTACTTTCATTCTCAATTAACTACAATAGAGATTAGGAAAAATTCCCAACGATCCACGAAAACTAATATAATTACAATAGAGATTAGGAAATTTCTTCATTGTGAAGTATACATCTAAGCTATAAATAACACATGAAACGATCAAAATTTTATACAAATCAATCATTCTCTTCATTGAAAGCGTCCACATAGAATTTAAATAAACCTATTGTAACATGCAACTTAAGCATTTAAGTTAAGTTTCTTTTGATGTTAATTAGAAAATTTTCCATTTTTATAAAGTTCTTTTTTCTATTTATTTATGAACTTTCCATTTAAAAAAAAAACTATGCATTTCGGAAAATGTAAAATTAAATAAAATAGTTAAATAAGTTTGACATTTTTTTATAAAAACAAATAAAACAAAAAAGTACACGTATCAAAACATACATAATATGAAATGAAGAAACAAATACAATTTTGGTAATACAAGAAACATCTAAATAGATAGATCCAAAGGGAACACAAGAAAATGGAAAATTATATAATAGTAAATTAAAAAAAAACTGTAAATAAGAAAACTACATATTGTAAAAATATGTAAATATGTGTGTTAAACCATGTCGTCACTTTGTATGTTTTTTTCAAGTTTTTGTGCATGCATATTTTGTTTTTTTTTTCTTTCCACAAATTAGTTTGGAATTTTGTAAATACAAGCTCCTAAAGATGTCCATATAGGATTTAAATCAACCTATTATAACATGTCACGTAAGCATTTAAAATTAAGTTAGAATTTAGTTTTTTGTTGCTAATAAAAAATTAAGACATCATTTTCTTATTTCATAAATTCATAACTTTAAGTAATTTCCGTTTTTATGGATTTGGTTTCCTATTTCAATTTTATATACTATAGATTAGGATTTTTTTTTAATTTTAAGGTCTTGATTATAAGAAAACCTTCTATAGTTACGAAAATTTTTGTTACTGCTATTTATAATTAAAATTAAAGTGAAATATGGTGGTATATATACATAGGATTTAAAACATTCAATAACTATATGTCACATTAGCATATTTATTTATTTTTTAATACAAATCCATAAACTATTTTTTTATTTCATAAACTCATGACTTAAAAAAAATCATTTTAGTTGGCCTTTAATGTCGATTTTTGTTTTTAAGTTTCTTTGTAGTTGTAAATTGTTAATATGTCAAAAGATAACAGTAGGTAGATGAACAAACATATAAAATTATAAATGTGGTAGTTTCGTCGTCGCAAGAGATAAAATAAACAGTTTTGTATTAGTAATCTCACTAAATATGTTAATATTCCAATATAAAAGTTTGCTTGCATGTATAAAGTTTTTATTATGTTCTCTAAAACAGTATATAAGAACAAAAAAATTGAACACTTTTATTGTTGGAATAAATAAAATATTCCATCATTAATAATACAATTTTTTTGGAAGAAATAATGAGTAATTCATGGAAAATGTATGAGATTATATTTTTTTATAAATTAATAATCACGTGATAACTTGAGATTTATAGTATGAATTGATTAGTCTCAAAAATTAATTTTGAAATTGCATAAAATTATCATATATATATATATGTTTTAGATTAAAATTTATCGGCATATTTGTTCATAGTTGTTATAAATGTATAGAAGAGGGACCTTATATGAATATCTAGAACTGAATGTACTTTAGCATAGTTGGAAAGAATTAAAAATTGCTTATAGTATTACATTGCATATGATATATATGTGAGTACTATTTACGAATCGAAGAGAAAAAGAAATACAATAGCGAAATATTTTTTGGTTAAGTCATAAGAAAAAGCTAAGATATCAAAATAGCGGAAAGATTACAGAGAGAGAGTGGATAAGAGTTTACGTGTGTCAGATATTTTTGAAAATTTATATTAGAATTTTGTTGATGTGATTTTATTGTCATCACATCAAGAATCTAGCTAAGTTTTTGATAAGAATATATATTTTAAAAAATGAAAATTTTTCTCTTATAAATGAAATAATGTGTTAAAATTAATAAACATACTAAATAATATAACGGTTATTTCTAATAATGTCGAAGTAGAGTATGTTGATGATGGTTGTGGTTAAAAGGTAGCTAAATATTTTTTTCTGGATTGGAAAAGTTGGGAGAACCCTTGCTAAAACAAACAAAAGAAGCGTTCGACAATGTTTTTTTATCATTTTATGCCAACCAAAATATTTTTATAAGTTATCGAAATATAAAATTTTATTTTTCATAATAGTTTGAGATGATATATTTAAAAGAAACATAGATGCACTAAAAGAAGAAACTAAGTTTGGTGCGACAGTAACATTTGTAATAAAAATATGCGATCATAATATTTACATTTAATTAAGATTTTCAGTTCTATTAATTACTGCATAATTTTTT